TTACCTGAGGCCGAGGTGGAGAAGTCCAAGAGGACGGTCCTGGCCAGCAACCGCCTCAAGACCACCAAGTACACGGTGCTCTCCTTCCTGCCCAAGAACCTCTTCGAGCAGTTCCACCGCCTGGCCAACGTCTACTTTGTGTTCATCGCGCTGCTCAACTTCGTGCCGGCTGTCAACGCCTTCCAGCCAGAGCTGGCCTTGGCCCCCGTCCTCTTCATCTTGGCGGTCACTGCCATCAAGGACCTGTGGGAGGATTACAGCCGCTACCGCTCCGACAAGGAGATCAACCACATGGAGTGCCTGGTGTACAGCAGGTGAGGTGGGGTGGGTGGGTACCGGAGACAGGGAGCGCCGCCGCGGCAGCCGGTGGTGGGGGCTTGGGCGAGTCAAGGTGTGGAAGCCGGGCAGCGAGCAGGTCCATTGTGGAGGGCTTTCCTTTCCACTCCAAGCGCAAAGAAACTTCCAGTTGTCCCTGGAGCTAATGTCTCCCATCTCTTTACTCAGAGCTGCGGGAGTTCCTACAGTCCTGTACCTTCAGGTGAAAGCGAATCCGCTCTGATCGGTGGGGTCCTGCAGTAAATCACTGATTTATGAGTAAGCAACATTTTTTATAGGTCTACACATATGATCCGGGCTTGATAGTGTTCATGTTTTAAAGGAATGACAGTGCATGGCCAAGTGAATGTAAGCGGCACAAGCAGTGTTTGATTTGCAGGCGTTTATGTGAACACTTCCCAGTGTGCGCGGTCAATTATACCAGTGTATAGTTTCAGGCATTAATTTGGTTTTAGCAATATGAGACCTCACTCATGTAATCTGCTATTAAATCTTCACTGAGCAAAGGAAGGATAGAGGCCAGAGGCTTCTGCATTTGAGTTAGGACTGTGAGGTTTCATGACATGTGAATTAGCGAGCCTGAGCTATGTTTGCTTTTCTAAAGAATGAGGCAGTCTTTCCATTGAATGTTTACTTTTAAGTGAATGCTTTTTATTTATTGTCTGAAGTGTCATCACTCCCTGTGACTTCACTATTTCCCAGAGCTTGTGGATGGAGCGTTAGGTCATTTATCTCCTGTATATTTATTATTATTTTTTTAAATTATCTGGGCTATACATTTAGACCACGGCCTTGGTATCTGGAAATCAGACTGAAATTACTTTTGCGCCAACATTTTTGTGCTCAGAATCCAGCTTTACTGAATTTTTCGTTTGCTTTTCTCTCAGTACCAGAGAGTCATCTCATAGTAGCTAAGGCTAAGGTTTTCTGGGGACTGAGAGAAGAATGTATTTTCCAAGAGAGCAGATTTTAGTTCTCTTTCCGATGCTTCTAAGTCTTAACAGAAACGAAACACGTGCCAAGAAGCTTACGCTCTGATTCCACAGGCTGTCTGGGAGGGGTCCTCTAGGCTGACGCAAGCACTGAGACAGAGAGCAACTCTCCTATTGCAAGAAAGGCATGTGAAAAAAAAAATACAAAATGCTAAAAAGAACTCAGAGTAGGCTGCATTTTCAACATCAGCAGACTCATCTTGTTATTTCATATCACACAAGAAATCTCACCCTGGGATATCCCCCCACCAGGAGATATGTATGCATGGGAACACAAGTAAAATGGCCTTATTTCTGTAAACTAAATGGAAAATAACCTAGCCAAATCACACACGTAGGCATTGCTAACCTGAGGCTGTGCCTACCGCCTTGCTTGTCTGTAGTTGTCCCTAACTCTGAACACTTCTGGCATTGAGGGAGATGGGTGGCAGGAGGGCTGCTAAGGGCCTGTTCTTCCAGTTAGGTAAAACAGTGCTAATAAGGATGGTTAATCTAGCCTTTACCAAACAAAATCAGTTGATCAATAAGCTCCTGTGTCTCCTATGTTGAAGAGAAGCAAAAAGTACCTGTTGCACAAGCTCCTCAAAATACTAACAAATACTGGTACTGGGATATTAATTCTGGAATGTTTCTATCCCCTGCAATTTTCCATATCCCTCTCTGCTGCCAAAAAAGTAGATGTGACTATGAGAAAGGGTGTATCTTTGGTGTTAATATAACTTGTGGTCTTTTGGGAGTCCCTGCAATGTGCACTATTTGTACTGCTTTGTACCATTTGTATGCTGTGCCAGAGTAAAAGTCAGAATGGTTCCTTTTACTGCAGTTTGGATTACCATTGAGTGACACTTACACAGATTAATTTGGGAGTAGTTTGCCTTTGCATTTGCATCAAAGCCTAATCCCTGTGGGGCAGCGAACATGGAAGTTCAGGAACTCGGTCACCTGTTGCAGCACAGCTTTGTGGCTAGGAGCAGAACTGAACGATGCGCCCTTACAGCCCTCTGCAGAAGCCTAGTCCCCAGTAGCGGCTTACCCATCTTCCACCTTCCAGCAGTCCTAGGAAAAACTCCCCTCCCACAGATAAAAAAGAAAAAACAGGAGGCTAAAATAATTTGCTTATATGTTTTTAATCTGCCCAATTTTTCTTCTTTTTTAGCCTTTTTTAAACTTCAGCAAGTCACCTTTTTGAACATCCCCCAGCCCCAGTGAGTGAGATGAGACTACAAACTTGCTATTTTTGGAGATAAAAACTAAGATTCTCACGAACTTGAGTGACAGGGAACCAAGATTGAGAGATTTGTATTGAGGTCATGAAAGTCACTGGGCGTGAGTTCAGAAAAGCTGTTTTCTCAGAAAGGTGTCATGCCAGGAGAAACACAAGTGATTGGATGTGACTTTGTTTCCTTAGACTCTTTGTTTCTGGAAAAATATTGAAGTATATATGTCACATAAGGAAGTAATAATTGGCAGCTTTTCTCCCCACATCCGTTTCTGATCACTTTATCAGTTTTACTACTTTTTAACCAAGCTAGAGTGTCTCGCTCTCTTCCCCGCTCTGCCACTTCCTTGTGGTGTCGTGGAGGCAGACTTTGATGTAAATGCTGTCCTCGATAGAGATGCTTCTGTAGGCAGGGCAGGTTAATGAACATAACTACAGTCGTGTGCTCCCCTAGGGCTGCCAGAGAGCAGTGACTCTTCTCTTGCTGGTCAGTATTTTGTAGCTCTGAAAGAGGCCTTCTGCAAGACGGGATGTATCCTAGTGCCAGGGTGGTCCTCTGTGCTGTGGTGGGCTTCCTTTCCTGCCAGCCTCCCACACAGCTGCAAGACAGCCACCTCAAACGTGGTCTACAGCATTCAAACACAGGCTACAGCAAATGAAAGCGAATTACATCAGTCAGCAACTTGAGACAGGGACTTTTGCTTCACAGGATCAGAGAAAAGCCCTTTATCGCATGTTATATACTGTTTAGTGACCAAGTAAAGATTCACATCAGGCCCTGTGTGTTCTGTCTTATGTCCTCCATGTGCTGCTTTCCTGGCTGCTGAAGAACATGTCCCCTGGTAGATACAGGCCACAATTAATGATGCAAGATCTACAGGACAGCAATAAAGCAGGGGTAGGCCAGCTCATCAGGAGAAGGTTCAAAAGCACGCAAGCACTGTCCACTGTGAGGTTCTCTGGAACAGCCTACACAGGCAGATCATGTTAGTAATCTGATGTGGGGGAAAATACTGTTCTGCTATGCTGACTGCTTGACAGCTGGTGCGCAGACTAGGCCTTCTTCCTCCTGCCTGCCCAGTGGTGTGGACTCAGATGACCCATTCCCATACAGCCACTGCTGAATCAATGACTCAGTGGCTCATAGTTGGCAACACTTATTGGATGATAGAACAGCAAAGGATGATGCAAACTAAAGTAAAAAGCTGAAGAGAGATGCAGCTTGTTTTTGCAGAAAGAAGACAGCTTTCATTTAGAAATTCTGGATGTTCTGGAGAGTTCCTCAAAAGATACTGCTTTCTAGAGTCAGATGGTAGAAAGGGAAAAGACCCAATTCTTTGAATAAATTGAAAGAAGTTGTTGAGTTTGAATTGGCAGTGTGTGTCGCAGAGTAAAACACACTGGAGAATTGCAGACTTGTGTTGCTCTGTGATGGAGTTTGCAGGTCCGCCTGTAAGAGCAGTCAGGGTCTTCATAGGTAAAGAGGGAAGGTTTCTTAGCAAAGAGAAGTTAATAGGGCGCCTCTCTGGAGGCCTTTAAGGGCATCTCTCCTGTTTCACAATACCGAGGAAATTAGGCACTTACTTTATGAGGACAGTTTCACAGGTCACCTAGAATTTAGATTCAGTGCAGGTGCTTATGTTAGGAATGCTGGATCACAGCCAAAACTGGTTCTTAGCTGGTTTAAATGCAGGAAAGTTACAAAGGCATTAGAGTCCTGCCTGCAGAAAATTGTTCAGTGTGCATAACCTTTGCAAACCTGTGATCATCTTGGTCTCCTTTCTTTGTTCCTCTTCCTCATTTCCATCACCCAGGGATGGAGGTTGAAGACTGGAGATTACAAATTCGCAATCTTAACGATGAAATCTTGTTTGGCTAGTTACTTTTCTGAGTTACTATCTTGGACTTAGAGGATGGGAGGGTGATTTTTTCTTTGCAGTTACTGTCCTCCAGTGCTCACTAGCTCTGGCTGGAGTTGTGGGTGCACATGTAAATGCTTGCTCCAGATAATTCCAGGATGCACACATTGCTGCCACTGTTAAATATTTGATAGAACTAAATTTGTCACTGGAGCAGATGTGTTAAAACTCTTCTAAGCAGGGTCTTTGTTTTCAGTGTGCTGTTACAAAGTATGGTATACATTTACATGGTATGTAAATAGAAGATGAATAGTGATAACTACAATCACAACAAATAATGGCACTCGTCCAGCGGGGAATTACATTTTGTTACTGACTCAGTGCTGCGTTGGTGAAATAATCTCTGCTAACATTTTTCTGGGAGCCTTATGTTCAAAACCAAAGGGCTTTGCTTTTTAATTCCACTCTCTAACTCTTGCTGTGTCCATTGAAGAGTATTGCTAAAGAGTGTAATGGTCTCGCATACTGATCAGAGAGTGATAACAGCTTCTTCTGTCAACCTGTGACTTAGAAAATCCATGACAAATTGGTATTTACGACCAGATATTTGCCTATCCTGAGGTGTGGAAAATGTTTAATGGGGTACTCAGACAGCTATCAAAGCAGGCTGTTTTACATTAAATGTTAATTTCTTTCTGCAAAACCCAAGAGGAGGAGAGAAGAGAATTTGATGTGGGCAATGTGTTTCATACAATTTCCAAAATATGCTCCTTTCTTCCTCTCCTCTGTCAACCCGTCAGTGAAAGCAATTCCAGCCTTGGAGAAAAAAAGATACAGCAGCATTACCAAATCCTCACAAGGGCACAGCAGATCCCACTCATGGCCTCTAAAATAGCCACATGATGACT